CAGGGTTATCGATTACTTAGTTGTATTGATAATTGATTATAATCGATAATTGTTAATTTTGAATGAAGTTTCTAGCCTAAACAAATCTCATAGCGATAGTCAGTGTCTGTGAGAGTAGTGGCAAGCGGCGCTGCTTACCACGTGCGCGGTTGAGGTGTCAAATCCCGGACCATACGCCCTCCAGCCAACCAACCCCATCCTCGCGTGGTCGCCCTTAGCGGTATTCCCGGGTTGGAGTTTGATTCTTATATAAAGTCGTTGGATCAATTAAATTTAGGTGAACCGCGTTGGTACCAAAGTAGGCCAAATCGCATTTAAGATACCACTATGGTTCTGAGTTGAGGTAGAATCCGTGGCGCAGTCCAACAATGGGACTGAGCAACACCGAGTGACTTATCCATAGTGAGGGGGGACGGGGTGATAGGGACGAGGATTCAACGCTTGAAACCAATTTTGATCCTTTTTTGCGCTGACTTTTGTTTGTTCCACTAGAAAAAACCCCCAAGGTCGACGTGCACTTCAGTATTATCGCCTGAGAGCCTTTTTTCCGCAAACAACCCTTTGCGCATCCGATTTCATCTGCCCTTCATGGGTCGATGAACGACGAGGTGCGCTATAGAGGATCAGCCACTTCTAATCGAGATAATCCTCGTTCCATTTGGGTCAAGTCGGCGTCGTTCCAACCAATCTAGCAGCGTTCGTTATCTGTCTGAATCCGGCTTTATGATGGTTGTTTTGTTTCAGGACATCGCTTATGAGGGAGTGGATGAGGGCTGTATCCTTGGCCTGGACAGCATTCTAGCCGCCATCGATGTGACCCCATGTCCACCTGCAGCGCCACCGAATCCAGCGGCGGCCACGACACCACCGCCTCCGTGACTGTGGCAGATGCTGTTCCAAGCAGCAGCCGATGAGGTCCCGCCCGCCCGCACAGAACTAATACAGACGACCTTCCTCTGACACTGAACGCCACAGTATCATCAAAGGGAGAGGATGTCTTTCAAAAATGGTCTCACTCAGTCTCTTATTGCATTTTTTCCGTCACGGACTGACCCGTCATCCCTCATTGTAGCAGTTGTCGTCTTCGTTTGTTACTCGATTATTGATTGATGATTGATTGATTGATTGATGATCTAGTCCGATCCATTCGTGATACGATGTCTTGTGCTCGAGTTCTATTGATTTACTTGCGTTCACTTTGGATTTCCTATTTTGAGGCCACTAATTGCTATTATATTGCCAGGGAATGAAATTCTACCTAATGAATGTTTTCAAGTATTGTTTGTTATGTTTTGGTTTAGAGCCCAGTCCAAAGCGCCACCGGATACGCGCTATCGCGTGTGGTCGCGGCCAGTTTCGTGAACTATGGAGCTTGTCGGACGGCGCAGGTGACACACACATGTACAGGATTTCCGAACGAGATAGCTTAGGTCGAGGATGGTGCACACTATCCGGTTCGCTGCGGCGACTTTTGGAGGTTAAACCATAATATTAGGTGAAACCAGGTTCCAGTGGTGAGACCAAAACGTGATCAGCCTCTGGGGAAGGGTGTAAAGTGTTTAATGATAAGATATCAGTAGATTTTAGCCCCCTAAGCGGCTTCTATGCCCGGCCGATCTGCTTGCAGGTTGCCCATGTAAGCTTGGGTAACCTTCGCTTTCAAGCTTTGATCTGTCTTTTGAACTATCGCCGACGCATGTCTCAGAAATATCTATTCCGCTTTATCTGGCCTGGGAATGGAGCGACTATCTCGTGTTCTACTCGCGAGTCGTGTAAAAACATGTCCGGTTAGCCGACATGCAGAAGCAATTTATCTCCGAAGTGTGAAAGGGTCAGGACGCCGTAAGCCAATTTTAGTCGCCGCAGACTACCCACCCGATTTTGGTGGCATAGAGTTTCCTATGATCCTCCCTTGTAGAACAGCTTGAACCTATAGTGCTTAGCAATTGTCTGGGTATTTGCCAAAGCATCTCCTAGCACTCCATTTCCTCAGAAGCTACTGTGTTCGGCCATAAGACGCAGCATCTCTTTCAGAGATACAAGAGTGGTGGTGGCTGCTCAAGATGGTTCTTAGAGAGTGGAAGGGACATAAAGGCGAGGTCAGATGTTCTGGTTCTAAATGAATTTTTCGGGAGATGCGGCGAGGTACGCAGAACCAAAGCAGGTACATAATTTTTTGAGGATGATCTGACAAGACGAGGCGCGTAGATCACCATAGGATGCAGCATTGCGCCCCACTCAATAGACATTGCGCCGCCCTCAATCAGTGCTATTTCGGTGTGAGGATTTCATAATATTTGAGGCTTGTCGTCTGGTCTCTCCCCATTTTTCTAGTGACAGCGTTACCCTTACATATCTGAAAGATTGTCACTGCAAGCGCGATAATTCATGCGTAGTTCGGCCCGGATCACTTTCAGATGATGTTTCTGCATGAATGCTGAATGGAGGGACGACTGAATTGGGTAAATTTATCGCCTAAAAAGCGATTCATGCTCTTGTTGAAGAACATTGTTTGAGAGATGGCCGTAGAAAAATAGAGCAAGGTTTCGAAGTAACAGGCTAAAGAAGCATATGGAGTGCATTCTCTGTGTGTCTCCAAACCGCTTTTCAGCCTTATCACGTTCTTCAGCGCAGTTGCTGGCGTCCGCTGTGGCTTTCACACAAAGTCAGATCTCGTCCTCAAACTTAAGAGTTGACATATTTAAAGCTTGCTTCAGAAAAGTGGACATGGATCGTCACGGATAGCTGAAATGAGGTAGTCTAGGCATTCAAAGCTTCAGCTATAAACTGTGGTAGGTCAGGCGGTCATATTGGTGGCGATGGATAAATCGATCCACAATAGATGTGCTTAATTTTTGAATAAATGTTGAAACAAGATGTAATCCGAATGTATAGAACACACCGCAGAGATTTACCGACATCTTTTAGAATGGAACTTGGGCTTCCTCATACCACCGCAAAAGTCCCATGCAGTATTCGGGCTATGACGTCTAAAAGAGTCGCCAAATAAGCGCGAGATCGAGTTCCGAAGATCCAGTCCGGCTCCTCACTCGTGATTTTGAGACGTATTGCGATGACAGCGTGAAGTAGTACTTAGCTATGCAGCGAAGTTTCCATCTTCAGAATTTAGAACTCTGCGGAATAGACAACACAATGGGCAGGACAGTCGGATGAGGAACGGTCGAGGTGTTACAACTGGAGAGAACAAATAGGGTGAATTTAAGAGGGACCAAACTTGGATCCTGAAACAGTTAGACTCGTAGAGAGCTAGGTCCTGAAAGCACAGCCATTAAGTGCGCAAACGAGGCCGGGCATGTGCCAATTTTGAAGTGTTCGAGCAGTCACTAGTGGCTATTAGGACCTAATATATTTTCTGCAGAACTAGGTGTCACTCGCCCCCCCCATGCCCTTGAAATGCGGAAAGAGGGACTTAGGGGACATGAGAAGCTTACCGTTCTGAATTCCCTCATTTCTATGAGACTTACTACTACAGATTCACATAGCATCGAGGCCATCACAATATATGCCATCGTACCTTGTCAAAACCTTATACTCCCCGACTAGTTTTGCACCCACATCTCTTTTGGCTTTTGACTTACTCAAATGCAGTTTGTTTTGAATGCTATTGAATAGGTGGGCCAGTGGTAACGGTTATCACACGCCTATGCATAGGTAAATTTTGACCTGGCCACAACCAGGCGGGTGGTACTAGGCTGCACTTTATCAACTTTGCGCGATCTGCTTCTTTATGTCAGACTTGTTCGAAAGGGGACTGATTTGAAAAATTATCACAGCTCCATTTTTCGCCAATTACGCTTTCAAACAATGCAGCGATGCTGAATTGGTTTACTTGCATGGCTCATTCTAGTGGACATAATCAATATCGAGTGCTCAATTTTTATACTTATTTCAATTTATCTTAGCTGTTTTTGCGCTTCATAGAAAAACACTAATTCAGTCTACAAGATCTTCTTACCCATTACGGTCGGCGCCGATCTTACAGCTTTAATCTGGTATGAGACGACGATATTCGATGACGTACTTGGCGGATTCACCAGACAGGTTTCTGCCCAGGAAAGATGTAATCTTGCAGCGAACCCGTCTTGGCCCTCCCCTCGCAGCCAACAACGACGTCCTACAAGCGCCCAGTAGCCTGATGTGATGTAAGCTCGTTGATCGCGAATCTCAACGGAATTTAGCTTTCTATTGATCGTTATGGATGGGAAGGAGGCGGGCGAGAGATCGGCAAGCAACTGGTTCCTCATTGAAAGCCTAAACGGGCAACAACGCCGATCTGTCCTAATCTCAGCTTCGGGCAAGTGACACGCCTAGCACAATCTGGGTCGAGTCCCAAAGCCGCCTCGTTGATCATCTTGCAACATCTATTAGCGGTCACTTCAAACGTAATAGCTTCAGATTTTCACACCACGTTCGGCTCATATAAGCCCATTTGGGGCTTCTCAGCCATCCACATGACGGTGCCTAGCCCATGGCTTTCCCATGAGATTCTGCGCCATTGCAGACTCAAATAGGCGGCAGTTTGTTAGCGTAATGGGCCCAAACCGGCGAGGTTTGTCCTGTCGTCGTCTCGGCGAGTTTTTGTCCACCTTTAGAGGAGGTTTCGTTGCAGACATGCGTCCGGAACGCGCGAGGTGAATGGACGCCACGGACGCCACCACAATCACTCGGCTAACCTGATTCCATTAATTCTCCTAACGGATTTGCTATGTTTCTAGTTTCGAGCCATAAAACCTCCACCAAATGTGGTGGTTTGAGGAGATGTTCCTCGCACTTATAACGGCTACATGCTGCTCACATCTAGTCAGTTTTGGTTCGCCACTCGTCTCAGCTCCATCTTCCCATTTTCGCTGATTCACGAGGAGCTAGGCTTCTCAAAAGTTCCCTCAATATTTCCCTTGAAAATTTTCCTCAATATGAATTATTTTATTTGTTTTTCCGCTTTTGAGCCCCTCTGAGCCTCTATAATCGACGCATTTCTATGAAGTTGTTTCGTGGGTACGGATTTTTGAAGATCTTATCTCAAGTAAAAGTACATCTGACTGAACTAGGGTACCATTTTGCCTTGTGAATCGCGTAGTTGGTTCCAGAATGCAGCATTTCTCCCGAACTCTTAACCAGTATTCTTGACCTGTACCCCTATTCGGGTCCACGACTCACTGGTGGGATTACCCAA